CTCGGCCCCTTTAAGACGGGTGGACTTCAACTCCCAGAATTCCCCAGGCAGCCATGGCTGCCTGGGGAATTCTGGGAGTTGAAGTCCACCCGTCTTAAAGGGGCCAAGGTTGGAAAACCTTGTTCCAGATGCGTTCCTAAGGATCCAATGAACCGTCCGATTCATTTTTTGAGAGATCATCAAGTAGGCACAAAAACAAGCCTTCAAAAGAAGACAGGATGGCAGCCACCATCTCCATCTTGACCTTCTGCTCCATCTACCGATACCCCGCCACCATGTTCCCCCCTCTGCTTCAAAGCCCCCCCCCCCATCACCGCGGACTCACGTTTGAAGAACATGGCGTTGACGATCAAGGCCCCATCCGTCTTCTGGACGTCTTTGGTGACTTCGGGCAGCTTGCCATCCGTGGTCTGGGCTGCCCATTCGTTGATGGACTTGAGGGCGCTACGCTTATCCCGGAAGTTGATCTTCGAATGCTCGTAGTTGTAGTGCTTCTTGCTATTCTGCACAAAGTCCTCCGCGAAGCTGATGGAGCTGGGCCCGTAGAGGCGGCTCCCCAGTTTCCAAGTGACGTTCCGGGCCGTGGCGTTGCTGACGTCCGTCAGGAATTCGGAGAGTCCGCTGTGGATGTCGTCGTCGTTGAGCTTGCTGGCGCTAAGTAGGGCCTTGGCTTGGGAGGCGGTGGTGTCCTTGCCCCCGAGGGACACCAAGCCCAGCGAAGATGCCACCACCACGGGGGACACCAAGATGTTCTCCAAGGCCTTGTCCTTGGCCATCACCTGGTAGAGGTTGAAGGCCAGGATGGCGCTGTTGTCGGCCAATGTGGCGGCCTTCTCGCTCAGCTTCTTCTCCTTCGCGGCGGGTTTCTTCTCGCTTTTCTTCTTGTCGTCGGAGGGCACCGCCGTGGCGAGGGCGCAGAGGGCGAGGAGGTGGATCAACCAGGTGGATTCCATGACAGCAGAGGGCAGTCGTGAGCTACGAGGAAGCAAGATCCGCCGGTCAGAATGGGTGGAAGGTTGAGTCGTCCTTGAGCCGGTCAGGATCAAACTCCTGGCAGTCGGCAGAATTAGTCTGCAACACAGCTTACGACCACAATGCAGCCCAAAATTTATGTTGAGAAATTTATTAAGTGAATTTTGCCCCGTTTTACGTCTTTTCTTGCCGCATTCGATAAGCGAATCACGGCGGTTGTTAAATTGGCAAGTCCCCCACTTAACAACATTTCATTTAGTGACCATTCAAAATGATGCACTGAAAAAAGTGACTTATGACCTTTTCACACTTATGACCCTTTTTTCACACTTACAACCCCACCGTCTCGCAATCCAAACTCAGACGCTCGGCAGCTGACTCGTACTTATGACGGTCGCAGTGCCCCGGGGTGGTGGTAGGGTAGCATGATCCCCTTTTGCGACCGCCTGACAAGCAACATCCATGGGGAAGCTGGATTCACTTAACAACTAGGTTACTGACTTATAAACAGCAGTGATTCACTTAGCAACCGCTGCAAGAAAGGTCGTAAAATGGAGCAAAATTACTTTAACAACAAATTTTGGGGTCAAGTGTGTTCGAAAATACAAATATAAGGGCATCTCGATTTAAGATCCGTTGCTTTGTGATTATTGAAAGTTACGACAGGCACCCCCACCTCACAAATGACCCCCCCTTCCCCAAAATGATTGCATTTTGGGCACCCGGCTTACAGCTTTTTATAGCCTTCCAACCTCACAACCACAATTCATGACGTTTTGCTGAAAATTTTATTTCTATTTTCCAACAAAAATTACCATTGTGGACGTCGTCTTTGCTTAACAATTCCTCAATATTTTTTTTTCTTTGTAAAATCAGACCAGCCACATGGTGACCCATTTAACAACCAGGACGACTTACACCATAGTTCTGAGCTCAATCACTGTCATAAGTCAAGGACTAATTATATGTCAAAATGTTACAACACCGATTGTGCTCAAATCCGGGGTAACTTATTTAATATGAAATTTATTTGGCGTCTCCCGAAGAGCTACTTTTCTGCAATTTTAATTCAAGCAATTTATCATGCAAATATAAGGCGGAATTCGAAGACAGATGTTGAGTAAATTTAATGCATCATAAAGTTAATAAATTGCATTTTGCAAAGACCGTATTCCCAAAATACGGTGGTAGGCAATCCAGGTTTTTCCCTAGCTCCTAGGACTTCCAGTCAGCACTTCCTGGCTGTGAAGGATGGGTGGCTGTAGTCCCCAAACATCTGGAACTGCCTGGCTGTAAAAACCCAGTAAAGTCAAAATTACAGATGCTAGTAGCTCTGGCCAGAGTGTGTTTCCCTGATACGCCACTAGGTGGCATCCAAGATTACACTACTACAGTTTGGTGTTTTGCAGAATTTAAGAATTTGATTAAAGATTTAGCTAGAATCACAATATTTTCCTCATTTCCCAGCCACACACCCACTTGGTTTACAACTGAGTGCAAGGTAGTAACTTTGGAGCAGTGATTCAAGGAAGCAACAGCTCAGAAAACTGTAGCAACTAAATGGTGCAAAAGCAGAGAAGGCCATATGTCAGCGCCAAAGTACATGTCAGTTTCAATGCTTGGTACTTCCGCTTGAAAAAGGGGAAGACATCCCCCCGCCCCCCCAGCTTCCATGTTCAAGAGCTGATATACAATAGGTGGGCCAATAATCCACCAGGAAAATTAGACCAGAAATCATCTAATTCCAACAGATTTGCAAAATAAAAATGTTTCATTTCCATTAAGACCAAATCAGCAAGGTTTTTCTCCTTTTTTAATAATAATAATCAGTCTCAAAGGCTGTGAATCTCACCAAAGATTACATAATAATAATAATAATAACAACAACAGGTTAGGACTCAAGCTGTTGAGTGACCAACCAGCTCCAAAGGTTGTGAATCTCACCAAAGATTAACCTAATAATAACAGCAACAACAATCTGGCCCTCGAAACTACATGGCTATGGATGAANGATCTCCTCTAGGACTGACCGGTTGGATGGCCTTGCAGTCCAAGGGATTCAATGCAGGAGTCTCCTCCAGCACCTGAGTTCAAAGGCCTCCATTCTTTGGCGCTCAGCCTTCTTTCTGGTCCAATATATTAGACGTCTCCAAACTTAGCAACGTTAAGTCTTGTGGAGTTCAACTCCCAGAATTCTCTAGCCAGCCATGATTGCTGGCTGGGGAATTCCTGGAGTTGAAGTCCACAAGTCCTAAAGTTACCAAGTTTGGAGACATCTAATACATTGGACCACAAGGAAGGCCTCCATTCTTTGGCGCTCAGCCTTCCTTATGGTCCATCTTCCACAGCCATCCATGGCAACTGGGAAAACCATAAGCCTTGACTGGACACACTTTTGATTGGCAGGGTGATGTCTCTGCTTTTTAGGATGCTGTCTAGATTTCCCATCGCTTTCCTCCCCAAGAGCAAGCGTCTTTTGATTTCTTAATTTCCCTGCAATTAGGACCCTATTAATCTTCACTGCTGGGTGGAAACTGGAGGCATCGAAATGCCACACACACACACACACACACACACACACACAGCCCATAGCCGTTGTGCTGTGCTGGCAGAATTGTGGTTGCCTACTCAAGTTTTGTTAGAGGAAAAATCTTCTCCGGGGGGAATCTGGTTTTGTGGCCAAGAAGAAGAACACAACTGTGCCAATGTTCTCTCTCTTCCCAGGGTCTGGAAAAGGATGATTTTAAGCATATTTTTCAAACTTGGCCAAGTTTTTGTGACCAGCAGGAAATTAATTTTGGAACAACCCATCATCCTCATCCAATGTATTGTAGTACAAGCTCATTTAGCGACCGAAGATACAACAGCACTGAAAAAATGTGATGTATGGTTATTTTTCACACCTGAAAAACTCCCATGGTCACATGATCTATATTCGGATGATTCTTGGCAACTGACGCGTGTTTATGACGGTCCTGGGGGGTCACGCGATCCCCTTTTGCGACTTTCCGACAAGAACAGCCAGGTTCACTGAGCGACGGTGTTACTGACTGAACAGCTGCGGTGATTCCCTTAACAACCGTGGGAAGAAAGGTGCTAAAATGGGGCAATGCTCACTTAATAACTGCCTTGCTTAGCCATGGGAATGTTGCGCTCTGTTTTGGTCATAAGCCGAGGACTAGCTATAAGCGGCGAAGGATCTGGGGTTTTTTTGTTTCTTCTGTTTTCCTACCCAGCTAAAGCAGGAGAAAGTCAGCTCACAGACCAACACAAATGTTCTCATTATCCAACTCTCACGTGCCAGTGGAAAATGTCACCAGAATGCCAGGAGAATTTCCCTTCTGCCCCCTGTGCCGAAACTCACAGCTCCTTCCCAGCCTGGTGAATTAAGCAATTTGCAAACGCCCGGCATGCAAAATGCCAAGGCTGCCACTGCGAAGGCAGCGAGGAGGCCATGGCTTAGCTATCCTCAAACAGTGGCGGATTGTGAAGCCGACAACACCCCACAATCCAAGCCACCTAGAGACAATGCCAGCCTTGTTGCCACTCACAAAGCGTAGAATCCCTGCGGAAAAGAGGAATGCGGCATGAGCCAAAATAATAATAATAATAATAATCCAGGCATTTTGCCGCTTCAAACTCTTAATTTCTTTATTCTTTCGTTCAGCATTTGGAGGGCTAAAGGCGTCCTTGAAAATACAGGGGAGTCCTCGCTTTACGACCACCACGGAGGTCAAAGTTTCTGTTGTTAAGTGAGGCATTTGTTAAGGGAGTACAGGTAATATCTTGATTTACAAACATTTGTTTAGTGGGTGTCCAAAGTTATATCCGCATTGAAAAAAAAGGGACGTACGACCGTTTTTCACATTTACGACCGCTGTGGCATCCCCGTGGTCACGTTGATCAAAATCTGGGGGCTGGTCAACCGGTATGTACGGGGATTCCTCGACTTATGACCACCATGGAGCTCGTAATTTCTGTTGCTTAAGGGAGACACTTGTTAAGTGAGTCTTGCTCCATTTTACGACCTTTTGGGCCACAGTCGTTAAGTGAATCACTGCAGTTGATAAGCTAATGTTAAGCGAATCTCGCTTCCCCGTGGACTTTGCTTGTCTGAAGGTCACAAAAGGGGATCATGTGACCCCCTCGGACATTGCGACCGTGGTAAATACGAGTCAGTTACCAAGCATTTGAATTTTGATCATTTGACCCTGGGATATGCTGCAAAAATCATAAGAGTGAAAAATAGGTAGGTAGGTAGATGAGAGATAGATAGATAGATAGATAGATAGATAGATAGATAGATAGATAGATAGATAGATAGATNGGCCACTCCCAGAGGAAATAAAATTGGAGCAAAAGGGGAGTGGAGTTTGCAGGAGACCATGAGTTCACTTAATTTTTTTGTGACTCTCAGAGACTCCTTGCCAACTTTTGAAGATATGGACCTGACAGCTCTCCAAGACAGATAAGGTCTGTGACTATAAATCCTCTCTTGAAAGACTTTGCTGGATGTGAATGAGCAGAATTCACAGTCAATTAACAAAAGGGTTTTTTATCGGGATAAGGAGTTTGCTTCGGGCTCTCGGGAAGCCTCGGTCAGGACAGCCTGGAGGAATTCGTCTCTCTCTCTCTCTCTAACAATCCCATTTTAAGGTTTGCCTGGATGAATCTAATCTCTTTGGAAAGAGCATTTAGAGTCGTGGGCTTCTTCGGGGTGAATTCCGAAGCCCCATTGATCCAGAAGGAATTGTTCCCCTGAATTGGACTAAGATTTTCCTTGTCGGAGTAGGATGAAGCTCTTCTATCCAGCTTATTTGTAGCTATTTTGCACATATATTTTGGCTTGTTGGGGTCCTTGGTGCTGTCTGAGCTTGGCGGTTTTCTCGCAGATGTTTCATTACCCAACTAGATAGCATCATCAGTGGTAGAAGGGAGTGGGGTTCTTGCATTCCCTTCTAGCACTGGTGATGTTACCTAGTTGGGTAATGGAATATCTGCAATAAAACAAGCTCAGAGAGTGCCAAGGACACCGGAGTCGTCCTCCTCTTCCTCCTCCCCCCTCCTCTCTCCTCTTCCACTCCATACATTCTATTCCCTTCTAGCGCTGATGATGTTATCTAGTTGGATAATGCAACGTCTGAAAGAAAACAACCAAGCTCAAAGGACCATACAACTCCATACAAATCTTCTCTTCACTTTCCTCTATGTTTTTGTGCCTTGTCTGCATTGGTAGCTCCTTCTACCATGTTCCTTTCACCCCATCAAAGAAATACCTAGAGAGCAAACTTCATTCTTTTCTAGCACTGATGATGTTACCAAGTTTGGTAATGAAAGGTCTGCAAGAAAAAAACCAAGCTCAGAGACCACCAAGGACCTCACAGTTCTCCTCCTCCTCCTCCTCCTCCACCTCCTCCTCCTCCCTGCAAACCCCATTCCCTTCTAACACTGATGATGTCATCTAGTTGGGCCATGAAATGTCTGAAAGAAAACAACCAAACTCAGAGAGCTCTAAGGACCCCCACAGTCCTCCTCCTCTTCCTCTCTACAAGACCCCACTTCCTTCTAGGACTGATGAGGTCACCTCGTTGGGTCCTGAAACGTCTGCAAGAAAACCACCAAGCTCAGAGAGCCCCCTGGACCCCTCATTTCAACCCTGAGCTATAAATATTCTCTTCTATTGACATCGGCCTGACTTTGGAAGCCTCCAATTGGAGATTATTCATCTTTTTAGCACTTCATTCCTGTCTAAAGTCTGGATAACTGATGGATTTCTGGGGGGAAATAACACGAGAAAATTAACTCATGTTTTTTTTTTCCTCCCCCTCTTTTGCCTTCTAGTCCTAGATATATTTCTGCCAACTGCAATTTCAATTGGGACTCCGACAGTTATTTACCGGAGTTATGCAAAGAGTTGATTTGGAGATTCGATTTGATTCAATCATATCTCTCAATCAAACAGGGCCAACTGAAGAGCTTTTGCTGGTTCAAACTGAATCTTGAAACTAAATTGGCTCTGATTGTACAGAAACATTTTTTCCTCCGATCTTACAAACGAAACGCCGGATGAAAGCAAGGATTCAAATTGACATGGCTGTTGCGGCCCACAGAGTCGGACAATGAGGAGTTGAGGAGGAACGTGGACCAGTCCAGGGGGGGCTGTGGAAAGCTCAGACCAGGGCTCCTACGTGTTAAATGTTTGTTTCCCCCCCCCCTTTTCGAGTTGTAAGCCGCCCTGAGTCCCCTCAAGGAAAAGGGCGGCATATAAATAAACTTCTCAATTCTCAATCTCAATCTCAATCTCAGCGTTGGAGGGAGAAAGGGAGCTAGACAGCAGCGAGATAGAGGAACAGCAGGGGCCTGTTCTCAGTGTGCGCATGCGCAGAGCAAACTAAGAAACCATGGTCAACTTGGGAGTAGCCACAAGTGGATGGTGATTGCCGTCCCCCCAGGAAACAAAAGAGGAGGAAAAGAGGAGTGGGCTTTTGCAGGAAACAATGTGTTCATTAGGTCATGGAAGTTTGGGTAATGCAATGTCTGCAAGAAAACAACCAAGCTCAGAAAAAAACAAAGACAGGATTGACCTCCTCCTCCCCTTACATGTTAT